GAAAAGAACTATAGGAATACGAAAAAATTACTGGCATACTATTGAAGAACTGTAATTTTTCAATAGCATGTCAGTAGTTTTTTCGTATTCTTGTAGTTTTTTTCCATAAGGAAAGACGTCTTTAGGACGTCTTTAAGAATAATATAAACTTGTCTTAAAGTTGTCTTAAAGATGTTTTAAATCGTCTTATGACCCGATTTTGGACATTGTGCTGTCTGGGAAGAAAGTCTGAAAGTGCTCAGTGTTATACTCATAACTGATATCAGTGACTACTCACTGATTCACTTTAAGAGAGCATATATCCTGCAAACTCTTCTTTAACCCTTCTTTAATCGGTGAACTATTTTTTAAAAAGTTCATCGACTTGATTACTTATACACATATGTATACGCATATTGAATAAGACACAAATACCTATTGCGTACGATCGTCATGTGTAAGCGGAAATGCGAGCGAAGATATCAGAATACAAAGGCTACTTAGAATGAAAAATCAATAGAACACAGGACGTAAAAGTTTCGAGAAAAAATTAACTCACGCAAATAATATTTCAAAGACTAAAATAATTCAATTATTACAGGTCTCATGTTAAAGCAAAGAACTTAATACAATTTGCATCAAATTCCCGGGTAAAAGAAGATTATACTCTCTTAAAGTGAATCAATGAAACGTCATTGAAAGCACCCAGACAGCACAAACTTCTAAAAGATATCTTAAAGACGTCCAAAAGGAATAAGGATATCTTTTTGACGTCTTTAAGATATCTTTTAGATTGTGCTATCTGGACAATAAATATACACTGATTTGCAGCTATAAGTACAGCACTGAAACTGCTCAGTGCTATACTTATAACTGATATCAGTGACTATTCACTGATTCACTTTAAGAGAGTATGTGAATTTTGTCTACGCATAATCGTATGTCCACAACGAAAAAAAAAATACAAATACAATCGAAGTAAATGCTTATGTTTTTAGCGGCATATGATGTCATTTAATTGAATGAAACTATTTCTTCTTTGTTTCATTTAATCCTTCCTCGTTTCATTTCATCATTTTTTTCCGTGTAAATATATGTGATTATATATGTGACCATGTGTGGACAAAATGCATAAGATTGCCATATTGAAACGGGGAGTACCACGGGAAATTATCGCAAAACACGATTTCATTTCAATATGTTTAATATGTTTTTCAGCACGTGTGTTTAGAGTCTAATAGATATATATTTATATATTTCTTTTTCAGTGAAGGCACCTATCATATACTATATAAATACAGGCACGCATACACTGTGTGACTTGATGAATAAATTAATATTTGTTGCTTCGCCGTCATGTATTGCTCCTTGACGCGACTATATACATAAACGCACGTGTGTCAGACACATATGATTTGTTATTTACTCTAATAGCGCGTAAGTGTCCTTCGCATATTTTTCTCATACGATGTCCACGAAGTAAGTAAATAACTCCTTTCGTATTTCGTACACGACTGTGACATGATTCTGAAAGATTACTTTCTCGAATTCAGCGAAAGAACCGCGACTATTTCAACTATTTTAGTCTAAAACTAAAAGAGAAGAAATACGAGGGTATATCACTTACTTTGTGGATTATCTTTTACATAATAACATGTAAATATACATTCGACTGAGTAACCAACTAATGTGCGAATAATGGCACATAAATAAATCCACCTCGCTCCTAACTTTGAGGACTTCGTCGCTAGTTAGTGCAAAAATATTTGTGTTACATATACGTCGATTATACGATTTAATTTCAATGTTCGATTCCGCAGCTCGTCAAATTTCGTAAACGATACTCCAATATTTTATTCAATATTTCATATACAACTTACAACGCACAAGATGCAAATAAAAAATATCATATAACTACAACATACAAAAACACGATAAGACTTCAACTTATACCTGGTTAAAAAAAATATCCTCCTCTCTCTCTTTCGCGCACACGCGCGAATCATATAAGCCTTTAAATAGTCGTCAACTTCCTGATAAAAAAAGTTTATAGAGAACGATAGAATAAAATAATAATTTTCTATCGTGATTATCTATTTTGAATATGGATTTTGATTCGTGAATATACAAAGTGTGAATAGTATTCTATCGTATACAATAAAATACAATAGATAGTGATAGAATTTCTATCGTTAGTTTCCTATAAAATACAAAATTATGTATAACCAGATAAAATACGATAAAATGCAATAGAATTTATATCTGAACTTGCAAACAAGAACGATACAGCTTAAAGAAAAATAGCGCTATCAATTTGAATCGTTTTCTTTAAGGCTTCCTTTAAGGTAGTTGTTTCCCAACTGTGGTAGTCAAAATTAGATTTTAAATAAAAGGTTCAACAACCACGATGAATTCTTTTCAGTGAAAGTAAAAAACAGATTTTTAACATTATTGGTTCTTTCAGAATAGTAAAAATCGATAAAATAAATAAAATGATAGAAAAAAAACAATATGCTGAATTGCGTTTAGTCGCGGAACTGTAGATCATAGTAACGTCGTATCTCTATTAGCATTATGCGACGCCAAGCTCCGAGCTATACAATGTTGCCACATCCGCAAAGCATGGTCGTGAACGAAAAAACAAAAGCCACACTTATTTTGCTAATTAATCATACTCTAATAACGTACGGTCAGCTTCATTGAGATTGTAATATGCACTTTTGTTAGTATTAAATTAATTTTGCCCAAATTTTCGTATTAACTCATATTGTAGGTTATTTGCAGCTGACAAATGCGCGTTTACGTATTAGTTTTTGTACATCAGCGCTATGTAAGATATTGAGAAAAAGAGTAAATTATGAACGGTAATTTCTCGGAAACTATACGGTTAATCGAACCCATATTTAACACCCATTTTACACATACGTATTAATATATAAATTAGTTTTGCTTCAAGTTTCAAGAAGATTTGTATCTTCACTGTTTTTGACCATACTACCTTAAGCTGTATCCCCAGCAGAGTGACATCAGAAGACGTCTTATTGACGTCATTCTACTACTTGGGATCGTTCACGCTCGCAAGTTCAGATATGAATTCTATCGTATTTTATCGTATTTTATCTGGTTATACACGATTTTCTATTCTATAGGAAACTAACGATAGAAATTCTATCACTATCTATTGTATTCTATTGTATACGATAGAATACTATTCACATTTGTGAATTCACGAAGCAAAATCCATATTCAAAACGATAGAAAACGATAGAACGACATAATTTTATTCTATCGTTCTCATATCTTTTTTTTTACCAGGGCTTCCTTCTACGTTACCGTACTGCGGAGCGTTCTAGGTCGACTTAACATTCTATCTTATCGACAAGCTGTTGTATAAGTTTTTGCAATAAGTTTTTCCTGGTAAACACACGAACTGCGAGAACAGCACGAATTCCGATAATTCTGGCGATACACATTACATAACAATTTTTTGGTTATTTTTTACAGTAATACACAGTCAAAAGCGCACCTAAGCGGCAAGCCGTAGTAATCTTCTACGTAATCTACGTCTTAACATGAGTTCTTAAATATACAGGTATGTCTAATAATAACGTATAAAATTCTCATGTGCAGCGTATTGCGCCAACATACAGAGCAGTTGTGCGGCCGATTTTTCAAGCATACGCGCGGTTGGGCATGGCTCAAGGTAATAGAGATGTGCGAACCAAAGATTTTTAATGTCGAATCGAATCTCAGATTTTAATTTCAAATTCGAATCAAATCAAATCGATAAAATTTCATTCGAATCAAATCGTTAAAAGAATTTTTAATTAACATAATCATTGAATTCAACATGAAAATACTGATTCAGCATGAGAGAGGTAACATTGATCATGTGATATTCATTTTAAGATGAGAGATATATAATATATAGTCAGTAAACGTGTATGGAATAGAGTTCCAATCTTGAAAGCTGCTCAACGATACATATCGATCCGACAGTTGTCGGTAAGAGTTTATCTAGAAGCCATTATCTTCTTTTAATATTTTTGAAGAAAATCTTAATGTATAGCAAATTTTTCAAGTCATGTTAATTCCCGTAAGGTTGAATGTCTTTAATAGTTCTTCGTTAAGGGGACTGGAGGATCAGATTGCCTAAAAATCGTGCTTGTTCTTTCACCATTTTTTATGACAAACTGAATGGATATGCGAAAGTGTTATTTTAACGTGTATTTATATAACATATAGAGAGAAGAAAAATATAATTTTGATGATTAAATACTCAATATAAGTGTATTGTACATGCAGTTAAAATATTTTTTGTTTTTCTATTCAAGATCGTCATTTTGCAGCAATATTTTGACTCTCGGTGGTTCAATTAAGTTGAATTTTAAGTAGAAAATTCCCTTAAGCTTGTCGTTATCGTATGAACCACTGACAAACTCGTGAAAATATTTAATTTTGAAATATTAATTTTTTTATTATAAAAAACTGAAAATTTAATAATATTTCATTAAGATATTTACAATTTTGTTAACTTTTACTCAATTGCTATTATAATGGTTCACACGATAACAATATGCTTACGGAAATTTTCTACTTAAAATTCAATTTAATTGAACCACTTGACGAGAGTCAAGATATTACTGTAAAATGACGATCTTAAAAAGAAAAACGAAATATATTTTAACTGCATGTACCATACACTTATATTGAATATTTTTGATCATCAAAATTATATTTTTCTTCTCTTTATATGTTGTATAAATATACGTCAAAATAACATTTTCGCATATTCATTCAGTTTGTCATAAAAAATTGTGAAAGAACAATCACGATTTTCAAGCAATCTGACTTTCTAGTCCCCTTAATGCTAAAATGCACGATCCATATTCGAATATTTTCGATTCGAAATTTTCGAATTATTCGGATTCGAATCATAGGGATTCAAATTTGAATCGAATCGAATTTCACTGGATTCGATTCGAATTCGAATCGAATCCAGTGAAATTCGATTCGATTCAAATTTGAATCGAATCGAATTTCACTGGATTCGATTCGAATTCGAATAGTTCGCACATATCTAGTAGATAATAACGGCATATGTATGTCATCATTACTATTGATCGAATGAGTCGCGCGTTGTTTTCCCAATAAAGTTTGCAGCGTTTCAAGCATAATTGACGGGTTTGGACAAACGTTACTATTATGACAAAAGTCGGAGCAAAAATATAAGATGTAAAATTTAGTCTTATAAGTTTGATATGATATACGAAGAATATCTATATACTCTCTTATGAGAAACGATTGATCACAATCGTGTTGTAGCGTACGGCATACCATAAAATTTTTTATACAAATACATGATCCAAGACCTAGATTTTTAGTTAGAAATTGAAAAAAATTAATAAACAATTGCGTACAATTATTCACCGATCTTCTTGAATTAATAAATGAAAATCTACGTGGTTATTTGCCACATCCCAGATAACATGCATATCTAAAAGATGTCGTAAAGATATCTTTTAGACATGCATGTTATCTGGGATGATACACGACGGCAAAGGTCGCCATCACAGTTCATCTACTGCATTGTGCGTGATCATTCGTCAATCTTTTTTAACTAATAACTCAAAATTTCATGTATTCATTGGTAAAATGATAAAGAAATTTTGTGTTTAATTTGACCTCATCTACACGTACATGATAATTTTATATGATGTTTATCATCAGACACATTATGTATACAATGTCACACTTATACGCATGTCAGTACGGGTTGCCTGTACATTTCGCTGGTAGGCGCACGTAGTTGTATACGACTTCTGTAGGCCTTAGTGGAATACTCACTTGGGATGTAAATTTTATAAAAAAAAAAAAACGCGCAAATGTATATGTAAGAGCAATACAACCTGTACAAAAAAAATATAAAATTTTCGAATAAATATACTTCTTTCACGCTATGCTTCTCTTTTTTAAGTTAAATTAGAATTTTTATAAATGAAATAATTACGTAATGAAATAAGCAGTATATATTTCTTTTGACAAACTTCAAAAACAAGTATAATTATTAATTAATTTAAAATATTCATATTTTAAATACTATTTTTCTAAATACATTTTTGACCTTTGGTATCTATTATCGTTTTCAATATCTTATATATAAATTCTCGTATTGCATCGCCAAAATTATCCAAATCTTCTCACAAGGAGACAACTGAATAAGATCACTCGATCTCTTTCTAGAATTTTGTTGATGGACACATCATCCATCGCTCAGAGATTATAAATGTAAGTCATGAATATCGCGTCTCTCGGCAGACGTTACACAGTCGTAGTCGCGTATATTGGTGCCACAGCGACGCCGTTACTGGACATCGCGATGTCCTTTTGTCAGCAATACGTTGTCATCGACGTCGACGTCGTCGTCGCCGTCGTTGCCATCGTCGCTGACGTCGTCGTGATCGGTACTTGCCTCAATATCGCTGAGGATATCTCGTTGCTCTCAATCCACCTACTCACTTCCGGCGGCATCTCCGGTCGCACAGGAGGCGCCTGAAAATAGAAATGTCTTATTTAAAAAGATTGCTTAAAAAGATACTTAAGGAAAATGTTATAAGCAAAATGCAAAATGTGACAAATGGCATATGACAATGCATAAATTTACGTATATGATATGTGAAGTATATCGTATTGAAATATTTAATATAAATTTCAAAATTATTGACTGTTTTGTGTTTTGAAAACACATATATAAATTCATAATTTATATTTATATTATAATTTATAATTATATATATACACACACACACACATCCACACACAAGGTGGGCCACTTTAATTTATCCAGCCGAATATTTCGAAAACTAAGATCGACAGACAAAAATGTTTCAGACAAAAGTTATATGGATCGATAGGGAACATAACTTATAGAAATATCATACTAAGAATCATTGATAATTACTTATTTTCAGTATTAAAAATACTGGATAATAAGTAATTATCAATGATTCTTAGTATGATATTTCTAAAAGGGAAGAAGGTATCATTGACAAGGTTTGACCTTGTGTGGCCCCGACAAAGTCAGATCGCGGTCAATTTTACTTTTTTAAATAGAAACATATATTTTTTATTACGGAATTTTATTCTACGTAAAGAAGCAAACAACTTTTGTTTGAAAACATTTTTTATCCGACCTTTATTTTCTAAGATATTTACGAAAATATCTATAAAATTATTGGTTTCAATAATTTTTTACTCGAATTCCATTAACTTTACCGAAAA